AGCAGGTAGGGCTCGGACACGCTGCCGTCGAGCATGAAGCGGCGCTCCCCCGCGTACAGGGTGAGGGCCATGCCCAGCAGGCCCCGAGGGTAGCCAGCCAGGACGCCACGGCCCTGGATGATGGCCAAGTCCACGAGCTCGTAGGCCTTCCATAGGTCGATGAGTGCCGCTGCTGTTCCTTCTCCACGTGCGTGTGCGGCTTCTGCGCGTAGGGCCTGCCACCAGACGGCCTCTTCGGCCGCGCGGCCGCGCCCCCCCCAGAAGGCGCCTGCGACGCCAGGGTCAATCTGCGAGTCCCAGCGCCGCGCCGCGGGCTGACGGACTCGGCTCCAGAGGCGAGGGAGCCAGCCCAGCAGCCCGATGGGCCGAAACCCGCCCTGGGGCTTCGGAAGCATGACCACGAGCGAGTCCGTGATGACGTCGGGCCAGCCGCCGATCTCCTCGCACTTCATCCCGAAGTCGACGACTGCCTCCAGGAGCTCGTCGCTGAGGTCCGCGGCCTTCCGTGGGTTGAGGCGGTCGCTGCCGACGCCAGTGCCGTGCCTGAAGGTCCTGGCGGCCATGCGCAGCTCATCGGCTGAGGGCCCGGGGAGGGCCTCGCCGCCAGAGCGCGGGAGCTGCGGCCGAAACCTGTCGCGGTCTCGCCTGACCCGCCAGACCTCTGTTTGACCATTGCTTCGCCACAACCTTCACTCGGTCTGGGGCATGGGCTGGGGCCCCGTTGTACTCGTCGTCAGTGGCCCATGCCCTGGGCCCGCGCCGATAAGCGTGGAGCCCGCCTGCGCCTTCAGCCATGGAGTGACGGATCCACTCCTTGAAGCCTTGGCCTCGAATGGCGGCGAAGGCTGCTCCATCGGCCTCCGCCTCGGCCCTGGCCTCAGCGGCCCAGTCGGCCAATGGGAGCAGGCTGGGGCACTCGGCGGCCAGGGCCACGCGTGCTGCCCACTGGGCGCCGAGGGGAAGGCCCACTGTGGACGGGGGCTTAGGCGCCCTGCTGCTCGCTTGCGCTGCTCCGTCGCCGTTGCTGCTGACGTCGCCGTCGGAGCTGCAGTCGCTGCCCTCGCGCCTGCCGCCGTGGTACCGCATGAACTGCTTGACGCCCTGCAGGTAGCAGTAGTGCTCGTCGTCCGCGATGGCCCAGGCGTCGGGGTCGCTGGCCTCCAACTCGTGGACCTTGCGCGCGTGCATGTTGTGCACGCCCTCGGAGGCCTGCCAGCTGTCCTCGCAGATGTCGACTGCCCGAGCCCAGCGGGCTGCCGCTCGCTCGCCGAACGGCCGAGCCAAGCTGGCGCGAGGGGGCGGGGGTGGGATCACGCTGATACCCTCCGCAGATGCGGCTCCCCTTCCCGCCCCCGACGCCGACGCATCACTGACGCCCTATCCAGTGGCGCTCGCACTGCTGGCTGCCGCTGCCGCTGCGAGGCTCGCGAAGGAGTTCACTTGAGGCTGGGGTGGGATCACGCTGTCCCCGTCCGCAGATGCGGCTCCCATCCCCGCCCCGTCAGACTGGCCCTCTGTGATGCCGACCTGCTCACCCTCGTCGCCATTGTCACCCTCGTACTGGCTGGGGCGCTCGTAGGCGTAGTGCGTGCAGAGGTCCATCCACTCTACCTTGTCCTGCTGCGCGTCGGGGGCGTGCAGGTGCGGCGGCCAGCCGTTGGCCAGTCGCGCCAGTGTGCGCCTGACGCCTGCCTCGCCCACCTCGATGGCACTCCACCCCCCCGCGTCCACTGGGCAGGTGGCAAGCCTGCAAAGCACTGGTGGTAGGTGAGCGACGTCGCCTATGCTATTCTCCGTCTCGGTATAGCCGTAGGCGATGGGCGCGCCTGGGAGGGGCCTGCTGTAGTCGCCCCGCTCCTCCAGCCAGCGCCTGGACTCGTGGTAGCTGTCCACCGTCCTGTGCAGCTCCTCCTCCCAGCAGTCGTGGTCGAGAAGGCCGAGCTGCTGAAGAATGCGCACCAGCTCCAGCCTGCCTGTGCCGCCGCGACGCCAGGCAGACTCGCATACGTCCCTGGCCGTCTGCATGCGGCGCTCGAAGTTCTGGGCCAGGCCCGTCGCAAAGTGCGTCGGCAGCCCCAGCATGCGAAAGATGTAGGGCACGCACTTTTCCATCCACTCGTACTCGTCCGCGTAGTGGTCGGGGTTGCTGGGGTTGGAGACCCACCCACGGGCACGGCGCCCGAGCACCCGCTTGTAGCGCTTGATTGCCCTGGCCTCCATCCGCTCCGCCTCCCGCTCGTCGTCGTCCTGCTGGCACTGGAGGAGCACTGCCGAAGAAACGGCATCCGAGCCTCCGCCGACGAGCTGATGGAGCTGCGTGAAATAGTCGCTCAGATGCATGAGCTTCTTACCCTTGTAGCTGGCCTTGGGCCCTTTGATGGGGCGCACCCTGGCCTGCGCGCCGAAGCTGAAGCTCGGCGGCCCCCCACGGCCACGGTGCAAACTGACGTCGCCGGGCGGGATCTGGTAGATCCAGACGAGCTCGTCCTCCACTCCCTCGCACAGGGCGCGGTAGACCTCCGTCATGGCCTGCATGTCCTCCCCCGCGCCGATAGCGTCCCGCAACTCGTCGTGGTTCCACTCCTTGGCTGGCATAGGCCCATATGGCCTGTCCTTGGGAAAGGCTGAGGGGCCCTTGACGCGGAATGACTGGCCTAGGTCGCCCTGACAAGCCAAGGAGAGCTTGACCCCGATGTGGGACCTGCACGGGTTGGCGCAGCCCTGCTCCGTCATATTGAGGCGCTCGCACCCGCTGACGAGGTCCAGCATATCCACGCTGACGATGAACCAATCGAGCTCAGATGGCTCCTTGACGGGGGAGCGCCGGCAGGCGCCCTTGCCCGTGTCGACGACGCGGCCGCCCAGCTTGCGCAGCCAATGCCCCGCGCGGAGGTGGAACCTGTCAGGCTCGACGTTCCAGTCCCCCGCCAGGACCCAGAGCTTGCCAGTGCACTTCAGCGTGGCTCCGACCTGCTGCAAGACGCTCTGGCTGTGCTCGCCCACGTCGTCGTTGTCCAGGTAGACCGAGCCCAGCAGGAAGCCTCCAGGCACAACGCCGTTGATGTGCACGATGGTCGCGCGGCCCTCAGCCGCGTGGCAGCTGTCCTTGCTGCCGCCAGCGCCTGGCCCGCACATGCCGCGCGAGGTGCGCGCGGCCGCGCCAGTGCCACTGCTGACGGCGCGCTGGAGGCCTGCGCCGACCGAGCTCACCCCTGGGGTCAGCACGGCACTCCAGCCAACCTGTCGACACCACTGCTCCTGCTCCACGGCGCGGTAGCCGTTGAGGTGGTGCTCCTGAATGCACAGTGCGTCGCCGATGTGAGCCTCCGCCACCGCCTGCTGTTGTGGGTCCTGCTGCTCGCCGAGGATGGTGGTGAAAGGGCCCCATCCGCTGCCGTTGAGGCTCACGATGGCGAAGTGAGGGCGGCTACCCCCGCTTCCCCCTTCTGCGGGCCCCGCGGAGCGGAGGCCTTGGAGGAGCTTCTGGGCTCGAAGCTTGCGCGTGGCGGCGGCTGCGGCGGCCTTGGCTGCGGCGTCGCCTGCTGCCTCGCCGTTGCCCACCTCGCCCGCCGCGGCCTCTGCTGCCCCCTCCTCGGTGGCCTCTTCCTCCAGGGAGTCCAGGATGACGTCGACGTCCTTCTCGTCGATCTCCTGCTCGTCGCCGCTCCCGTCGCGCTCCGCCGCGGCACCTGCTGTGGCAACGCGCTGTGCCAGACGCCGCATCTCTGCGACTTGGCCGTCCCATTGCTCAGCGAAGCCAGGGGCGAGCATGCCTGAGCACTGATTAAGAGCGGCGAGGAAAGCGGTGGCTCGCTCCCCCTCGCTGAGTTGGGCGCCTGGGGACGCTGGGGCGACCGTCCCTCGCGGCCCTTCCTCCAGCTGCTGTGCTTCACGCTCGCGGAGCTGTTGCGCCAGGAGGTTGTCGATGAGCGCCTGGAGCTCCTTCTCGCTGGCCTGACTCTGCGCATGTTTGCCCTCCAGCTCGAGCTTGTGGGCCTGTACTTCGGCGAGCTGCTTGTCCGCCGCCGAGATCCTGTTCGCCAAGGCCGCCGTGGTGGCCTCCTGGTTCTTCTGCTTGCGCTCCAGCTCGCTGAGCTGGACTGACGTGGGCTTGGTTGCTGCCAACTCGTTCTCCAACTGCTGCGCCTCCTGCCGCTTGGATTCGAGAATGGCCTCCGTGCCGTCCACGCCCTCGATCTTCTTGATCTCGCTTCGTAGCTTGCCCAATCGGCGGACACGTTCTGACTTGTCGTCGGGCTGCGACCCGACGTCTGCCGCCCCAGCGCCACCGCCATCGACTCCTGGTCCTGCTTGGCTGCTGGTCTCCAACTTTTTGACCTTCCTGCGCAACTGGTGGAGCTCGTGGCGTTCTCTGGCGTACAGTTGTGACATGCCACTCCACCAAGAACTCGCACCAGAACCGCTTTCCCACCAGTCGTAGCCGCAACTCCTGCAGACGTGCCGAGAGCCCCAATTCTTCTTGGCTCCGCACTGAGGGCAATCCCAGACCCTGGGCGCTGCACCGCTGCCACCCGCGCCTGGAGCTTGACCGCCCCGCTGTCCACGACCGCTGCTGGCTTTGCCGCCGCCACCGCGCGCGGCACCTCGAGCACCACCTCCACGTCCTGCCATTGGTCGAGCCCGCCGAGGCTGGGCTCCCAATCGGGCGACTGGGGCCGGGTGTCGGTATGGTGATATGGAAAGAACTGTGGCCGCAAAGACTTCGCTGAAAGCTTGGAAGATTGGGAATCTGACCCAAGAATGGACGCGACGGCTAGAGCCAGCCTCATGAGACCAGACATCTGCCCTGATCGCGCCATCTTGAGCCAAAATGGCTACGGATGATGATGATGATGATGATGATGATGATGATGAGGAGGAGGAGGAGGAGGAGGGAGGAGGAGGAGGAGGAGGAGGAGGAGGAGGAGGAGGAGGAGGAGGAGGAGGGGGGCCACAGGAGGGCGGCGGACCGCGGCTCGGCCGCGCCGCGGAGCTCTTTTCTCCCCTGCGCCGCCGAGGCGCTGGACACAGGGGGCCTCCCGCGGGCGCGCGCAGGCCCTCGGCCTCGGGGGCCTGAGCATTTTCCTAGGGTCAGGGGGACGTAAGACCTGGGTACAGAAGACTCGGAAATCCCCGACGAGGTCGTCAAAAAAATGACGAGGCCGAGCCTGTATTTCGACGAGGCCTCCCGCTGCAGACATCCCACGAAACTCCTCCTCGTCAAAATCCGAGTCGCGGTCGTCAAAAAACGATGGCGAACCCGAGTCCTGGCAAACCCAAGTCTTACGCTCCCCTGATAGGGTGGAGGGCTCAGGGTGAAATCCATATGGGCAATTACACCTCGAAAGTCAATCCGTTTTGTGATTCGTCTGTCGCGGGTTCGGGCCTCGGAGAGCCATCGGAACGGCACTGCAGATTTCACCCCTTGCCCTCCGCCCGAAGAGAAAATGCTCGGGGGGAGAGACGCGCGGGCGAATTCTGCGGAGCACCCGCTCCCAGAGCGCACCGGCGGAGCGCAGAACTCCAGCGGAGGGGCCGCTCCCGGAACAGCTGTTGTCTTGGGTGGTCGGGCGTGTCCTCCTGCAGGCGGAGGTTGGAAGAACAGTGAAAGCTGCTCAAACATATTCATCCCAAAATGAGAAATATAACATCGTCCCCAGACAGTTCCTCTTTTTTTTGAATGCGTGTTCTTCCTGTAGGGGGACATGCCCGATTTAACCTTCGTCTGCATGGGGGGCTCCACACGAGGCCTTCTGCGGCCGGTGAGGGGCGCCGGGTCCCCGAGGTCGGTGTGGCTCAAGGTTTTCCAGAGACCCCCCCCAGGGGCCTCGGAGCCTCGTCAAAACAGTGGGTGCGAAGCCCCCGGGGGACCGCCCCTGGAAAACCCCCTCCCCAAAGGCCCTAAAGTCGGGCCTGCCCCTCTCCAGGGAAAAGCTTCAAACATAGTTTAAATATGGTCACTCGGGGGGCGATGTTTTGACCATTTCTGAATATGTTAGGGTCTTTTTGGACCACGTCTTTTTTTTCGTGCAAAAAGCCCCCTGCTGGGGGACAGGCCCGACGCAAAACAAAACAAAAAAACCTTTGGAACCCTCCGGGCCGGGCGCCTCGCCGGCCCGGCGCCCCCCGGGGACGGCCCCACGAAGGCGGGACGCCGGGCGCGCCCACAGCCCGGAGCCGATGTGCTGTGCGCTCCGGGGGGGGCGGGCGCCGCGGCAGCGGCGGGCGCCGCGCACGCAGGGGCGCGGCGGCGGGCGAGGGGGGAGGTGAGGAGGCCATGTGTTTGTTTGTTGTTGTTGTTGTTGTTGTTGTTGTTGTTGTTGTTGTTGTTGTTGTTGTTGTTGTTGTTGTTTATTGCGTTTTTTTGCTGTATCTATGTATATAATGTGATTATGTGTTACTACTGGTATTATTATCACGATTCGTATTATTATTATTGTTACTATTATGTATTATTACTATTGTTGTTGTTGTTGCTGCTGTTGTTGTTGTTGTTGTTGTTGGTATTATTGTTGATATTCGTTTTAGTATTATAATTATTAGTATAATTATTACTACTACTATTATTATTATTGTTGTTGCTGCTCTTCTTATTCTCAGTATTATTATTATTATTAATATTTTTTCTTACTATCATTATTGCTATGATTTGGTTATTGCTATTAATACTATTGCTTCTGAAGGTCGGCGGCGGCGGGCGCCACGCACGCGGGCGCGGAGGCGGGCGAGGGGGGAGGCGAGGCGGCAATTCTTTGTCATTGTTTCTGCGGGTCTGCCAGCAGGGGCCGGGACACAATAGGCGGGGGAGCCATTTTGCTGGGAAAGGTCTTCGTCGGCAAGGGGTGGGGAGGACGAGGCCCCACTGGGATGCCTGCCGCGCCGGATGGGGCCGCGGCTTCCGCGGAATAGACGCCAGACGCCACGGGATCACGCAGGATTCTGAGCTGGATCTCGGAGCAGGGGGAAGTCAGAATCAGACCTCCCGGGAGTTGCGTCCGAACGGGGGTGAGAAGAAGGTCTTCTCAGAAAGCGGCGGGGCTTCTCAGAAGCCCTCTGGCCTTCGGAGAATTGTTCTGTGTCTTCGGGGAAGGCCTTCGAACACTTCTCAGCAAGCTGGGGGACTTCCGAGCCTTCTAAGGAGGCCCGCTCCTTCTCACTTCCCAGCCGGGCTCCCCGTCGACATAAGACGAAGCCAGGAAGAGGACGATCTCGGGTGGGGATAATTACATCGGGATCTCTGAGATCCGGCGGCTCTGGAGGATGTATCGTTGAGCAGGGACCGACCGTCCTGGCATTCCTATAGTCCTACCACGAAATGTTCTTAGAACCCAAAAATGTTCGAAGAACAAAAGCAACGTTCTTAGAACATAACCCCGACGTGACACAACAAGACAGACCCAGCCAGAAATGTTCTGAGAACATGTCGTGGAAACCGCAAAAGGTTCTTAGACAATTGTTTGGTAGGGCTATAGGCGAGCCAAGACGCTTCGCCACTGCTTGATATCGGACGCCGCGGCGTTCTCAGAGCGTTCCGGAACGCTGCGCTCTGGAGCCGAGGCATCCTCGTCACAGCCCCGCCCGGCCCTGAGCTGCGCTGTCTACCCCCTCCTGGAAGAGCAGCGCCACCTCTGCGCGTCGATTCCCCATATTTTCCGATATCTTATGGGTTTTTGCCTTCCCCCCCCACTTCCCATAGTTTCCCATCTTTTCCTGGGAGTCGACGATTCATGGTGTCTGTGTCTGTGTTTTCCCCCCCCCCCCCTGAGTATCGGCATCTGTGTACGTGTGCATGTACGCATGTGCGTGTGTACGCTTGCAGACATCTGTAGTCGGGAGCGGCCAAGAAGGGGGTGTCCAAGAGGGGGGGGTGCAAATCATGACCGGCGGCATGTGCGCGCCCCAGCGGGGGGGTCAGGGACGTAATGAAATAAGAAGGGGCGCCATGAAATCTGGGGAAATATCATGGCCCCGGCCATGATATCCACCCCCCCTAGTCACCACCCCCCTCTTTTCCGCCCCCGATGTAGATACGGGCGCGGGCATCAACTCCCGACGCCGGCGCTGCCCGCAGGGAAGACGGGCGGGCAACACACGACAGTTTCGGGCCCCCCAAATCTTGCCGAGCTCGACGCGTCGCTGGCCGCAGCAGCTCCGCCCTGACTCAAGCCGGCCCGGATTTCGGCCTGCGCTCGCCTAGCTTGTGCGCTGTTCTCTCTCGCTCTCGCTCCCTCTCCCTCTCTCTCTCTCTTTCCCTTGCCCTCGCCCCCCCTGTCTCTCTCTCTCTCTCTCTCTCTCTCTCCGCGTTGAGCGTCGCCTCTCCTGCCCTGGCCTGCCCTCCCCTCTCCTCTCCCCCCTGTCCTCGGCGCTCCCCTCTCCCCCCCCCATCCCGCCTCTCGCCTCCCCTCAGCCTCCTCCCTCTCTGCCCCAGGTCCTCAGCAACTGCTCCACAGGAGCAACACGCGACCCATCGGGATGTTTTCTTCAACGTGTCGCGACGGCGGCCCTGGCAACACGCTATCCCTTGCAAGCTGATGGCGTGTCGCTCCGCTCCGCGGGGCGGGCAGCTGAGAAAGGCTATGGACGTTGACGCTTAGGGACAGGGAAATTGATGGCATGTCGCACCGATGCGTGGTGGGCCAGAACTGGCGGAGCGACACGCTAAGCCAAAATTCCTGATCGTCCAACTCATCAGCAGTGACACTCTCCACTCCTCTGACTTATTTCGGTCTTGCGCCCGCCACTGCCGAGTGTAGATGTTTAACGACGGAGCTCCTTATTCGACATCATTTTCCCCGACCATCCTGTGGCGTTGGTTCCTCGTTTTGGATCCGCAGCGCCGCGCGTCATCCCTCTTCCTCCGTCCTCCTTCCCCTTCTCTCTCCACCCCTCCCTGTCTGTGCCATCCGCATGCCCGTCAATTTCGGCATACCCCTCACACGCTTCGTGGCCTCATCGGGAGCTCCACCCAAGGCTCCAGTGGGTGCGTTCACATGCCGCCCCCCCATGTCGGCACACTCCTCACACGCTTCGTGGCTCCATAAGGGGGCTCCCCCTCCTTCGTCCCACCTGCCTTTCGGTAGTGGTTGGGTCTTTCGCCAAGAATCCGCCACCGTGCTCTGCGGAACGACTCGAGTTGGAGTGCGCTCAGGTCCCTCCGAGGTCTCTGCGTTGAGAACTGCAAGCGTGTCTTAAGGGCCGAGGCCCCGAACTCCCAAATCTTCCTTGGCGCTGTTGGGGCTGGCCGCATGGACTTTCCAAAGGCCAGCGGGCGCCGAGACGGGCCAAGAGGGACCTATAGAGGCCCCGAAGACGGTCCAAGATGGCCTCGAGTCGCCCCACACATCGCTCCACGACGCCCAAGCTGGCCCCAA